GGCATAGATTTTTTTTCTCTGTAATTGTGAAAAACACATTGCTAAATAGGCAATAGAATAGAGATAATAAACAATGTTTCCTTGCAGAAATTATGAGCCAAGAAATTTTATCTTTTCTTCCTTCCTTGTCTAGAACAATGTCTGGCATATAGCAGACACTCAGTAGAGGAATGAATGAATGAATTAATGAATGAATGAATGAAAGAAAATTAAGTTCAAGTCACATCCTATGTAATAACAGCCTAATATGCAAATCGACCGAATGGTGGAACAATTGGTAGAACAACCAGTCACTATGATGCCCACTGACCATCAGGGGACAGATGCTCAATGGAGGAGCTGCCCCCAGCCTGCAAGCTCCAGGCCAGCCAAGGTGGGTGCCAGTGGGGGCTCCTCGATCGCCCCACCAGTCACTATGCAGAAGGAGGCGACTGGAGGCGGGAATGCAGAGGGGCAGGGCCGGCCAGTGAGCAGGTGGTGGCAAGGGGTGGGGTTGGTGAATGGGCAGCGCCAGGCCAGCCAAGGCAGGTGTCAGCGGAGGCCCCTGATTGCCCTGCTGGTCGCCCCACAGATTGGCCCTGATCGCCTGCCAGGCCAAACCCTACCTGTGCATGAATTTTGTGCACCAGGCCTCTAGTTCTACATAAACGGATTTAAAAAATACATCTCTTTTTCTGGAATTATCATTCTTGAATAAATTTATCACTTTATATTTCTGGTTTTTGCTGAGTATAGAATCACTTAAAATCAAATTACAGTAGTCTCCCCTTATCTTAGGTTTTGCTTTCTGTGGATTCAGTTACTGCCATCAGTTGTGTTCTGAAAATATGAAGTGGAAAATTCCAGAAATAAACAATTCTTAAGTTTTAAATATGTGCCACTCTGAGCAGCATTCTCACACCATTCCTCTGTCCCACCCCAGATGTGATTCATGTCTTTGTCCAGAATATCTATGCTGTTTCCACTCTCCACCCATTAGTCATTTAGTAGCTCTACTGTCATGGTATCACAGTGCTTGTGTTCATGTAACCCCTATTTTACTTAATGCCTAAAAGTGCAAGAGTACTGATGCTGGCACCTCAGATATGACAAAAGAGAAGCCATAAAATGCTTCCTTTAAGTGAAAAGAGGAGTACAATAAGATATTTTGAGAGCAAGACCACATTCACATAACTTTTATTGCAGTATATTATTATAATTGCTCTATTTTATTATTAGTTATTATTGTTAATCTCTTACTGTGATTAATCTCTTACTGTGACTAATCTATAAATTGAAGTTTATCATAGTTATTCTCGTATAGGGAAAACATAGTATATAGATAAATGGTTTGGTACCATTCTTGATTTCAGGCATCCAATGGAGGCCGGGGATACTTTGAATGTATCCTCCTTGGAGGGGGGAAACTACTGTATGGCCTAGAGAAAATTTGGATAATGTGCAAGAAAAAACTGCCCAGCCCTCGCCAGTTTTGCTCTGTGGATAGAGTATCAGCCCACAGACTAAAGGGTCGCAGGTTTGATTCTAGTCAAGAGCACATACCTCGGGTGCAGGCTCAGTCCCTGGCCCCTGTAGGAGCATGTGCAGGAGACAACCAATCGGTGTGTCTCTCTCACATTGATGTTTCTCTCTCTGTGTCTCACCCCTGCCCTCCCACTCTCTCTAAAAATCAGTGGAAAAAATATCCTTGGGTGAAGACTAACAAACAAAGAAACAAACAGCAACAAAAACACTTGCCCAACCTTATTCAAACTCTTGTGTATGGTTCTACTGGGAAGCAGTCTCTTTGTTTTTAATAATTGCTTCACTACTTAAAAGCCAAGATAAGCTGGTTTTTAAAAATTTAATGATGCCAATAAAGATAGATAAGTGGATTCATGTAACAGAATAGAGTCCAGAAATATATGGTCAAGTCACGTATGTGGTCAGTTTATTTTTGACAAAGATGCCAAGGCAATTCAATGGAGAGAGGAGAATCTTTTTAAAAAATGATGGTGAAACAACTGGATACATGTAAGGGAAAAATTAATATCAACTCTCCACTTTGACCACACACAAATATTGACTCAACATGGATCCTAGAACTAAATATATAAGCTATATAAAATATATAAATAAATAAATAAATAAATATAAAAAGTACAAAGCTTCTAGAAGAAAGCATAGGAGAATATCTATGACCTTAATATTTGTAAAGATTTCTTAGGCAAACTATGAAAATCACTAAACTTAAAAGAAAAAGAATTAAAAATTTGCCTTCATATAAATTAGAAACTTATGCTCTTTAAAAAACACCACTAAGAATTAAAAGGCAGGATTTATATCAATCATATATATATATATATATATGGCCTGGTGCACAAAATTCCAAAATTCGTGCAGGGGGGGGCGGGGGGGGGGGGCGGTTTCCTCAGCCCAGCCTGCACCCTCTCCAATCCAGGATCCCTCTCACAATCCAGGACCACTGGCTCCTAACTGCTCACCTGCCTGCCTGACCGATCACACCTAACTGCACTCCCAATGGCCTGGTCACCCCCAACTGCCCCCCCCCAGCCTGGTCACCCCCAGCGCCCCCCCCCCTTCTGCTGGCCTGGTTGCCCCTACCTCCCCCCCACACACACCGGCCTGGTCACCTGCAACTGCCCACCCCACAAGCCTGTTCGGCCCTCACTGCTCCCCCTGCTGGCCTGGTTGCCTCCAACTGACCCCCGCCAGCCTGGTCACCCCTAACTCCCCCCACCCACCAGCCTGGTCACCTGCAACTGCCCCCCTGCCAGCCTGGTCACCCTTCACTGCCCCCCTCTGCTGGCCTGGTCACTCCTAACTGCCCCTCCGCCAGCCTGGTTGCCCCACGGAGCCTGCTGTTCAGTTGTTTGGTCGCCTCTCACGGCCCCCCCTGCTGGCCTGGTTGCCCCACACAGCCTGCTGCTCAGTTGTTTGGTTGCCCCTCACTAACCCCCCTGCTGGCCTGGTTGCCCCACACAGCCTGTTCGGTCGTCCTGGTTGCGATGGTCATATATATATATATATATATATATATATATATATATATATAGTCATAAATCAAGCAACCTAGTTTATTTTTAATGGGCAAAAGCTCTGAATAGATTACTCACAATAGAAAGTCTATGAATAGTCAATAAAGTCATGAATTAAAACTCAATATCATTAGTTGTTAGTCATTAGAAAAATGCAAATTAAAACCACAGATATACCACTATACATACACTAGAATGGCTAAAATTAAAAAGATTGCCAATCCCAAGTATTAGTGAGGATGTGGAAAAACTGGGACTCCCTTACATGCCTGGTGGGAGTATGAAATATTACAACCACTCTGGAGAAATGCTTGTCAGTTTCTCAAAAGTTAAATCTACACCTGCCTGATAACATAGGTATTCTATCCCTAAAAAATTAAGCGAGAAAAGTGAAAATATAAGTTCACAAAAAGACATATATAAATGTTTATATTAGCTTTACTCTTAGTGGAAAACTGAAAACAACATAAGTATACATCAACAGGTAAAGGAATAAACAAGTGCTGACATATTCATGCAATAGAATATTACTCCACAATAAAAATGAACAAACTACTGATACACACAAGGACATGGACCCTTCTCAAAAATATTATGCTGAACTAAAGAAATCAGATACAAAAGAGTATATACTGAATTACTTCACATATAAAACCAATAAAACAAGCAGAGCTAAAAAGGTGAATCACAGAAAGATCCGTGATTGCTTGTTGGGTAGATGAGTGAGTGAGGAATGGACTACACAGGTTATTGGACATGTTCTTATACTGATATTATTGGTGGTTACACAAATGTAATCATTTGTCAAAACTCATCAAATTGTGTACTTAAAATGGGTGCATTTTATTGTATGTGAATTATACATCAGTAAAGATGATATAAAAAGAGAAAATATAAATAGTCTAAAATGTGAACAGAAACTTAATAAAAGAGACAGACAAATCTCCAATGGCTCATGTAAAAATGCTCAACTTCATTAGTCACCAGGGAAATACAAATGAAACTACAGTGACATATAATTTCATACCCATTATAAAGTTGAACATACACCTGCCTTGTCATCCATCAGTTTCAATCCAAGGTCTAAACCCAAGATAAATGAAAACATATGTCCACCAAAAGATATGTGCAAGAATATTTATAGCAACTTTACTTATAGGAGACCCAAACTGGAAATAAACCAAATACCAATCAATAGAATAGATAAACAAATGTGGGGAAATCCTGTAATGTGATAATACTCATCTCTAAAAAGAATTGAACTAGTGATGTACATAGCAACTTGGAAAATTATAAACAAAGAGGGGTTGGAGAATATATACTGTATTATGCTATTTACATAAAGTTCATCAACAGCCAAATTATTCTCTAGTGATAGAAATAGGAACAGTGGTTGCTATGGAGGGAAGATTGACTGGAAGGGATGTGATGAAACTTTCTGGGTAATAGAAATGTCCTTTATCTTGATTAAAGTGGTAGGTTACACAGTGTATATATTTATCAAACTCATTGATTTTAGGAACTTGAATTTAAGTTCCTAAGATCAGTTCAATTTCAAACCATGTAAATTTTATTTCAATTAATTAAAAATATCCACTATGTCAATTGAGTATCTATAGACTTTATCACCCTTTTCTTTCAACAATAATTTGGCTAATAAACATATATTCTTGGATTAATATTCAAAACATATTTGATCTACTTTTCTTTGAAAAAATATTTTAAAAATCATCCCTTCAAAAGAAATTTGATTCTTTTAGTTAGTAGAACATTTAATCCATATTGCCAGCATCATGCAATGAAATAAAATATTTGCTATTTTGTTTGGTAGTACTTGAAGATTTTTTTTACAATATACTGGTAAGAAAGAAGTGGAAAAGATCAAGATTATCTAAAATAAGTATCCCTTATTAGTTCAAAGGTAAGATTTGAGCCTGACTAGACAATAGAGAAAGAGCATACCTTCTGAGAGCCTTGCCTTGTAACATTTGTTCTTTGTCTTTCTGTTTTGGCTATTATGGTGGGCTGCTGGTGGAAAAAGGAGCAAAATAGCTGAGAGCTCCCGGGTTCACATGCCCTCTTGCAGGAGTCCCTGTAGTATGCGAGGCTGCAGGAACAGGAACCCTAGCCTTTGTCGCCTGGATGTATCCTGGCAACCTGTCAACAAAAGGGACAGGACTGAGTTCTCTAGTAACAGATTGGAAAAATCCAAAACAAGAGGTGAAGAAACTCAGAAATAGAGAGCAAAATGGCCTCAGCTTTCTTTGAAGTGGACTCCATGAACTTTACCAATGGAATGAGCATCGAACAAAGAGAGTCTGGTGAATTGATGTCACAAGGATCATCTTGGCATGGCAACAACTTTTTTCTTTTCTAAAGAAGAAAAAGAAGCAAAAAATACTAAATGTCTTATTGATCTTTTCTAGAGTCTTCAGAAAAGATCATCTATTTAGGAGAGCTGGGCCTCTTCTAAAAGAGAGAGATGGATATTCTCCATGACTCCCAATGGATGTCTGTGCTTTGGTCTAAAGTGTAAGAAAATAAAAGATGTAGAAGCTATGGTTAGTTTATTTTCTAATGTGCCCTAAGAGAGCAAACATTTTTTAAAAATAAGGTCAACTTTTTAAATGTATCTAAAATAATTTTTTGAACCTCATATTTAAAAATACTCTGAGACATTACACTAATTGTGGTGAATGAAATACTCTGCAAGCATTAAAGCTCATAAATAAAAAACAGTCTATTTCCATGGCAAAAAGTCCACAATACTGTATATTTCTAAAAAGAGAAGCTACAAAACAGAATAAACAGTATGATATCATTAAATTTTCTCTCTCTCTCTCTCTCTCTCTCTCTCTCTCTCTCTCTCTCTCTCTCTGTGTGTGTGCGTGCGCGCATGTGCTCAAGTCTATATGTGTGATCTTAACTCAAAGAACATTCACCAAAATGTTAACAGTAGTAACTGATGGATGATGATATTAAAACATCTTATTGAATGCTTCTTAGAGTTAGGAGTTGGAGAGGGGAAGGCCCTAATCTTGAGGATTCCAAAACTGTACCTCATCCCCAGATAAATGAATTGGGATACAGGTGATTCACAGAACTATTAGCTGTTGAAGTGATTTCGGACCACACTCTAAAGTCCCTGTTGGATAATGAAGTTCCACAACTTAATATTCTATACTGATCAAACTATGGATAGATACATCCTCTACAGAGCTTTACAGATACCTCAATTATACTATCACATAAAATAGTTCCAGTTTGAATCCCTCTTCTGAAACCTTTCATAATATGCCACATATAAATGCTGAGGCATGTCTACAATGACCTAATTGCTGCTGTAAGAGTGACTATCTATTGAGAGGGGGCAAGAAAACTTAGTTTTATATTTGGCTTTTTACCAACTTATGGGTCCCTGGCAATATATTTCTTACTTTATACAGTATGCTTTCTCAGCCCGATTGTGAGCTAAAAGAGATACTTCTCTAAACAAATTGCCTAATAAATAAACACTATCCCAAATGCACACACAGTATCCAGGCCAGTGGCTGGCTATTTGGGTCAGATGGCAGAACAGATAGGAACTGCTGGCCTAGAAGAGGACAACCCCGGGAAAACATGGAGAGGGCAGGTATTTCCAGGCTAAAATAGGTCAAAGAGTTCTTCATCTGGACTTCTCTGGGATGCCTGGGAAAAGCCCCTGGAGCCGTGGGCACGTGTGCTGGCCGGGGAGTAAAGGTGTTTTTGCAGGCCGGGGGGGGTTGCAGGCTGCCAGCTGCCTTCCTCCAGTCACAGGAGCTGCTTCTGAAACTGGCTGCAGGGGAGCCTTTGTTTTCTCTGTAATTTTGGGCTCATTTGAAATTCATGGGTTTGTAGTTTCATCTTAAATTGAACACCCTGCTGTTCAAATTTATTTCATCCTGGCAAAACAGGCCTTCCTGGGTGCCTGCCCCTCTCTGTCTCTAACTGCTCTCTCTCTCTCTCTCTCTCTCTCTCTCTCTCTCTCTCTCTCTCTCTCTCTCTCTCCACCTCCCTCCCTTTTTCTCTGCCTTTTAATAGGACCAACACTTTTAAGTGGCTTATTTTTTTTTTAAATCAAATTCCAAAGGCATCTTGGACATTAAATAGCTCTTACAACACAACCTTTTGATGATTTAAGTGTAAATGAAGCAGAAACATATGGATTTCATTTCCTATAAATCACACAGTCCCTTAAAAAAAAATCAAGGGAGAATGTGCTCAGCACGATGTATTCTGTTTGGTTGAACCCAAAACGTCTGAAAAATACTTGGAGGCTGATGAATCCAAAATATTTACCCACCCCTATTTATAACATGGTGGGGGAAAGCCCTTGATTCTTGGTGACAGCCAAACTGCTCACATCTGCCCAGTGGTCAACCAGCAACCAGCAAGAGCTTCAAGATAACTGTGTTCCTTCTTCTGTTCCCACTCCAGACACTTCACTCAACCTCAGATCAAAGACGCTGAAGCCCTTCCTTACACAGAGCTGGCCTGGTGTGGCATTGCTTGGGCTTCTCTCATCTAAAACAACTGCGAGTTGTTTTCATGCTATTTGATGTCCGGTCATGTTTGTGTCACTGTGGGATGATGCCAGCCTCACCAATAATCCAGATCTGACCCCTTGTGACAACAGCCCCACCACAAGGAATTCTGGCTCATTTCCCCTTCGTAAAACCACAGCTGTTGTGCCTGCACACCCCCTGACTTTTTCATTAAAGGAATAAATCATGGTTTTTATGTAGCAGAAAAGAATGCTGCTCCCTGCCAGTATCACTGACGGTCCTGCTGTCTGTCTCTTCATTGATGCAAAGCCCAACTCCTACTCTGAAAACTACTGATAAGTTTATTTAAACTGGGCAGGGACTATGTGTGCAAGAATTTTTCTTTCTTATTTTTTTTAACAGCAGCAGCAGGAACTCAAACAGGATGTTTGTGAAGTTTGGGAAAATAGGTCCACTGGGCGTCTTGTTCCCTTCTACCCAGTTGTTTACTTGGCCTTAACACTTAGCTCAGACACAGAGAGTGCCAGCCACCTGACATCCCTTATCTCAAATCCTTGAGCAACCCTACAAGGAGAAGCCTCCGTGCCCTTATTTTATGGATGATAAAATTAGGAGTGGAGGTTTTCAATGACTTGCCCCAATTGCAAAGTTAAATCTAGGTTTGAAATGTATGCCTTTCTGGTGCCCAGCGACTCCCCTTCCACTGCCTCTGGTGACCCCTTGTTGTCAGATTGCCACACAGAACAGTCTAACCTCAAAGGAGACTCATTTGTCAAGATATGCCTTTTGTCACAAGAAAAGTCGACACAGACTGAGTTTAATATACTACATTGAACATTGCAAAATGTGTCCTGTGGGAGATTAGAAATAAAAGGGGAAGATAAACTTTAAATACAGACTTTTAAAACTCAAAAAAAAAAAAAGTACATTTGATGTATCAGAGTCCTGACCCGACACATCTTAAATCCCTGAGGACTCCTTTCAGGGGCATGTTTCTCAGCCTTTTTTTAATTATTGATTCCCTTTCCATATATATATACATATCTTTTTTAATCCCCCTTAACCATGAACTTTTAATAACACAGATATATCTTATATTAGCTTATGTATTATGGCCCTTTGGTGGGCCACAAACCAATGTATTATCTAAAATTATGTCACCTCCAAAGCCAGTTTTTACTGCCTCTGTGGGAATGCAGGCCTAACAGATATACATCCAAAGAGCTGACAATGTTGGCCTCAGATAATCTTATGGTCAAGCTGACATACAGAAAAAATGACCAAGAGGCCACAGAAACCATGGAAACCCTTCCTAAATTGTCAAAACAAAAAAGCACAGCATTAGTTTAAGAAGGGCAATAAGTGTATCATATTTTCTATGCACTCCAGTGGTTTTTATCACAAAAATGGAACTTTTGGAGCTGAAGTATACTTTAAAATAGCCTCTAGTCCAGCTAACTGTCTTCAGACAAAAAGCAGTACTGGCCTAACTTTTTTAAATTGATGAGGCATCTAAGCAGAGGACATTGTTATTTGTTTATGTGCCACAGATTTAAACTCAAACTCCAAAAAATTTTTTTCAAAACACTCTCTTGCTTTATCTTTGGTATAAATGCAAACATTGCAAGAGCAGATAGAAGGATTTCTTTCTTTTGATCCCCCTTCCTATGGGCAGGGAATATTTCTTCAGTATTCTATCTTACACTCTATGGATAAAAAAATATTTTGTCTATACTGTGCTAGAAAACCTCCTGTTCCAAGGGCCTGAGATTTTAAGTATCTGTTGAGTCTAGATGATGCATCACACGTTCTGGCTTGCCAAACTGTCCCTGCACAGCTCTCCACCCTGCTGTCCCACTTCTTGTTCAACACCCACTAAACCAGTGGTCGGCAAACTGCAGCTCACGAGCCACATGTGGCTCTTTGGCCCCTTGAGTGTGGCTCTTCCACAAAATACCACGTGTGGATGTGCACGTACAGTGCGATTGAAACTTCATGGCCCATGCGCAGAAGTCGGCATTTTGTTGAAGAGCCACACTCAAGGGGCCAAAGAGCCACATGTGGCTTGCGAGCCGCAGTTTGCCGACCACTGGTTTGGACATATAGAGAGGATGAACGAAAGGAGATAGACGAAACAAGTATACAAGACGAGTGTGGATGGGAGAGTTGGAAGGGGTCGACCTCAGCGAACGTACCTCAATCAGATTGAGAACGTTTTTAGCAAAGGCCAGCTGAGGAGTACCCTAATTAAGTTAATAACAATGTACCTACCTATATAGTTTAAGTTTAAAAAATTTGGCTCTCAAAAGAAATTTCAATCGTTGTACTGTTGATATTTGGCTCTGTTGACTAATGAGTTTGCCGACCACTGCACTAAACCAAAGCAAGCACAGTACTTGTACGTAGTAGGTGCTCAGTAAATATTTGCCTACTAAGCTGGGTACTCACTTTGTTAAAAGTGATAGTAATAGTGACCAGCCTGGTTGAAGTTAACCAAAAATTACAAGATGTGAAGGCCAGATTAATACTTAAAGGTTTCTACTAAATGTAATATAGACATTTTGAAATAATTCTGCCTTTCCGTTTAGAGAACTGGCAGCAGTCCAATGCCTTGT